CGAATTGCTAGGTTGGCAGGCGCTGGGACCGAACGACGGGAGCGCACCCCACCGCAGGGATTCGAACCGCCGACCTTTTGATCGGCAAGCCCTAGGTGCTGAGGCTTTTACCCTCACAATAGAACCAGTTGCCTTAGATTGAAGCAGCAAAAAGTGTTCTAGGAGACCAGGAAAGTGTCTACCTTAAGGCATAACCAATGTGTTAAAATAACACAAGATCATTTTCAGCTTTGGGTCAACGACCTACTTTTGGGCTACAAATAGGAACAGCCCACTGCTAGGTCATGGAACAAAAAAACCCATTAAGAGCAGATATTTCTTGGACCCAGTGGGAATTTGGCAGATGATGAAAAACCCATCTCCATGAAGACCATGATCATGATCCAGTACAATTCAATAGGGGAGCAACAGTCTCAGCATGCCCATTTAAGTCAATTGGTGACTGCATGGACGGTCACAGGTTCTTTGCAACTTCAGTAGGTTCAACAAAACACATCCTCCTGGGTTTGTTTCATTTTGTCTGGCAAAAAAACACCCTAACGCTGTCTCTCCTGGCTTTCCACAAAACTGCCATAAATATGCAGAAGGCAGATGGTCACAAGGGCACTTGCTACAAGGCACCATGGCTGAGCAAAACATCCTCTGCAGTGTGCACCCATATTGCATATATATTACTACAAAATATCATTGTGTGTATATTAGGAGCATTTGCTAAACATGTTAACTTATGAAACAGCCGCAAGAGGTTAAGCAACAAAGAGAAGCAAAATGGAAGGTGTAGAATACAAGGGATCTGCTGGTCCTCAGCTACTAGAGGACACTTTCATTAATGGAATTTAAGGCCTCTCTTCACCCACATGGCACCCTCCAGATGTTGTTGGACTGCAATGCCCAGTTGTGGCTGATGTGAGCTACAGTCTAACAACACCAAGAGGTGGGTGAAGGCTGGATTGAGGGCTCTCTCTCCCTTGTTCTGTTTCATAGGGAGCATCTAAAGAACCAACACGGCTAGCTAGTTACGCAGAACCTGGTGGGCTTTCAACTTGCAGTTCCACAAACAACAGAAACTCCCTCGCCCATCTCCATGACACAAAAAGGTTTTTTCAGAAACCAAGGAGAGTCGAGAGCAGTTTTGAGATTCAGCTCGGGGGTTAAACTCAAAATCAAAAGTCTCACTGGACACAAGCCAGCCTTTGGAAGCTTCTCCAAAGGGTAGCGTGTTGGATCCTGGTCAATTGTCTCTCCACCAACAATGATAGCAGGGGGAGCCAACATATTGTCCTCATATTGTGTAGAGACTCATAACCCTCGCCACGCTCAGTCTGCATGGGCCAATGGTCAGGGCTGGAGGGCAGTCTGAATCCTAGATAGTATGTAAGACACCATGTTAGTTTCCCAGGATTTAAGGCAAGGAAAGCACTGCACGCTAGCATCAACCTTACTGGGGAGGACAACTTGTAATATGGCCTTGGGTTGATGAAAGCCCCATAAAAGCTAGCCCAATCTAAAAAGGGGAATAATAATAATAATAATAATAATAATAATAATAATAATGTGTATTACACCTGCCTATACAATTCAATGCATGTGCCTCAATACTATTTATATATATATATATTTTAAAAAACCACAGGAGAATAAACCTTACTATTTACAATATATATATATCTATATAACATGAAAGCAATAATATTTGCATTAACATAAATACATTTTTAAATACTTACAGAAACACCCGGGCTTCAGTGCGCGAATTATTATACAAAGAGGAGTTTCTCCCACTCAGTAGTTCACTCACTCCTTTGCCTCTCAGCTCAAAGGCCACAATCCTACACACGCTTACTCAGGAGGAAGTCCTATAGAATTCAGCGGGACCAACTTCTGAGCAAACGTGGGTGGGAAAAGACTGCAAGAGATGCTCTGCTTCTCCTTTCTTTGCACAGCTGCACATAAGACCATGTTCACACATCAGGGTAAGCCATGGTTTACTGTGCATAAGCCAATTATGTTCATTTTGCACCTCCCTGCAAGAGTTGGGGAATAACAAACCATGGTCGTTGGCTTGCATTCATTCAAACCAAGGAATAGGATTTATTTTGCTCCCCAAGCAAACCATGATCTGTACCCAATTATGGTTTGTTTGAGATACACCACAGTCCCTGGTTTAGACATAACACTAGGCAAGGAGTCATGACCCTTTTCCTCTGTACACAAGAATAGGTGTGTTCATGCAAAATCGCTGACTGGTTTACTGTGATGTGTGATCTGGGACAAGGTTTCAACAAGGCAAGCATGTACAAAAAAATGGGGGCCACATTCCCAGAATGTACACCTGCAATTTCACTACTCTGCCTATCTGAAGTCCTAAAAAGTTGGCCTTTTACTATTGCAATGCTCTCAGTTCAGAAGGTTGACACATTTTCACCCACAAGGGAAATCCATCCAGGATTTGGGGCCTAAGACATTTTGGTGTTGGAGGCAGAAAATGCAGAATCCCTCCTTCCCCTTTACTGGGGGTAAAATTACTAATCTGAAGCTGCAATCTCAATAGGGTTTACTGAGTAGTAACAATTCACAGGATTGTCTTTAATGGTACACTCAAATTTGCCACACAGTTGGAGGTTGATCCACTTTGAGATGCAATATAATTTAGGGCTGTGATCCTATGCAGATTTCTACAGGAAGTCCTAAGTGAGCCCAGAGATTTGCTCCTTTTTAAATTGCACAGGACCAGTGATGGTTTCCCCCACGTTTTGAGAACGTTTTTGCAATAGAATGCGGGCATTTTGCGGGTTCCCCCAACTCCAGTTCAAACTGGCATATCAATATTTGCAGCAAAGCTGGGTTCCTACAGTCAGCTACAGCGCCATCCCACCCATATGGGCAAGATGTCAAAGAAAGAAAAAGCCCATTCACACTTTTTGTTTTCCGGTGAACACAACATTTAGCCAGATCTCCATGGCAAAATACCACAGTGGCATCCATTACAAGGGCTTGATTCCTTACAGCCAGGTTTATCACCAGCGGCAATCCATTGAGTGAAACTAGCTCAGTATTGTCTGCCAAGTATCAGACTGGAACTTTTTCCAGCCTGACCTGGAGATATTGAGGATGGAACCTGGGATCTTGTGCAGGCAAAGCAATTGCTCTGCCACTGAGCTACAGCCATTAAGACTATCACCTAGCCAATAGCCCTCAAGGTGGGGCTACCCCTTCTTCCACTTAACTTAAAGCCAATTCATTGCATGCTGGTCTCAATCAGGATGGTTTCACAAGGGAGGAACCCCAGCAAAAGCAAGAAACTGGTGTGTGTGTGTGTGTGTGTGTGTGTGTGTGTGTGTGTGTGTGTAAGGATGTCTGCCTTTCGTCAGCCAACCTGGGCAAAGATCCAGAAAGCAAGGTCATCTACAGCTGATAAGGGGGACAGGCCCAGGAAGGCACAAGGCTACCCCAATCATGGGGGCTGCACAGGGCAACAGGCAAAGTTGTTGGCTCGGAAATGGGGGGGGGGAGAAATCCCCTCGCTTCCTCTTCAACACAGATCTTTGGGGTCACAGTGTCTTTGGCAAAAAGTTTCCCAGATTATACACTCGTTCTTGCCAATTGCAAGTTGGGAAACACTCCCTAGGGAGAAAAATATAAATGGTGGCCCTCCCCACCTCAACACACTCAAAGAGGTTTCACCTGGGGCAGCAAAATAGCTCAGTCTGGCCCTGCCCCAGCTTAGAATGGAGCTCAACTGTAATAGTTAAGGTACCATAGCGAGATCAGGCATGAATGAGTCAATATCTATAGCCCAGGCATAGGCAATCTCGGCCCTCCAGATGTTTTGGGACTACAATTCCCACCATCCCTGACCACTGGTCCTGTTAGCTAGGGATCATGGGAGTTGTAGTCCCAAAACATCTAGAGGGCCGAGTTTGCCTATGCCTGCTCTACCTCATATCAAATTCTTAAGAATCAATCCCTATATCTGTTTGGTTCTAGCCCATTTTTGCATCTGGAAATACATTTTTTTTTTCAATTTGGAGACGGGCAAGATCCAAAGGAAAATTATGTTCCAAGTCGCACATCAAACCCAGGGGGTGTAAATTCAGGTCACTTCACTGAAAAAATGTGGACTGGCCTAAACTTTCCTCCCTGACTATTTGCGATCCGTTCTTCCAGTGAGCAAGGACTGAGCTGAGTGGTCCAGATCCCACACACAAGAAGAAAATCTGGAGAATGTGGCATGCAGCATGCATCTTAAATTTTGTCAAAGAAGTAATGATTTGGATAAAGTTATGTGGGCGTGCAAAACAAGGTGGGGAGGAGAGCTCAAGCATGCTCAAGAGAGGACTGGACATAATACCACATTGAAACCATAAGAAGGTACTTCTGAAAGGCTTAATAAATAAATGTTCCATATTTATATTTAGGCGCGCATATATATATATATATATTTATATATATCCACATTGAATAATAGGTTTCTATTCAGCCTTTTCTTAAACCAATTTGCACAGAACTTCAGGACTGGTCCATCTGGTGTGACACCCAAGGACAGAGTTCAGATTGAGGAGTCTGTTGCATGGAGAGCCACCAGGGCAGAGAGGGAGGGGAATATGTCTCTGAGGTTCAACATCTGTTGCAACCGGTCTCATCCGGCCTTCCAAAAGATGGACAAGAAGTACCGTCTTCCAATTTTGCAGAATCCTGGACCAGCAAAAGCAGGCATCTCCTCTTGACCACCCTCAATCAGTTTTCCAATCTGACAGTATACAAAGCCAGTCAAATCCATCCCCTCCCAGTAGATGCACAATAATATAGCTTAGATACGAGGCGAGTGGCTACTATTTTTTATTATTATTTTAGAGAAGCGGCAGTAAAGGGGGGGGAAAGATAGAGAGGGCATCCTTCGAAGATTGGACAGCCCCAGGCACACAAACGGAAACCATGCAGAAGGTTCTTTTTCTTATCCAGCTCCCCACTGAAAACCAGGTCAACAGGTTTTTTTTAAAAAAAAAAAGTTTAAAAAAATGCTACTACTGGAGAATCAGAAATGCTGATCACTGCCTACAGTGGGCACTTTGCCAAGAAGTTAGCTAGCCGCTTCTGATCCAAGTAGTATTGTTGAAGGAGGAAAATCGTCGCAGCCAAGTCATCAGATCTGTAACGTTCCAATTCTAAAAAAAGCAATGGAAGAATTGCAAGTAGCCCAGACCACCCTTTGGTTTTGGTCACTGCTGTTGGTTCTTCTCTGGCTTCCCTTCCCCTCTTGATGGTCGCCAGTCAGTCACTCAGAACCCAGTATTTGCACTGCTGTTGTACTTGATTTCTAGCACACATGATGCCTCAATCTAGCGGCTCAAGGAGGGAAATGTTACAAAGACCTTTACAGAGATCTGTGCCGGTATAAACCACTATCGCTGTTGAGTGTAACTGGAATGAGATCCGAAGAGATGTAGAGGAAGTTGGGTTGTGCGATCCGGTCAAGAACGGCTTACGAGGAAAAGTCAAAGCAGCATTGCAGCCTATAAGGCAACGAGGTTTCTCCACAAAACCAGGAAGGCAACTTGCCAAAACAGAAGTTAGGATTTCAATACATACTGGAATTTAAGGCACCATCCACAGGGTGAGTTTTGGAGCAATAAGAGGTACAAAATACAAGAACAATAAGGAGTTATAGAGTGCTGGTGTGTCCCTGGGAAGGTTTAAGAAGGCCTCTAGTGGTTTTCATCATTTACAAAAGTAGATCGTGAAGGTGACAAGAAGTGAGAGGGGGATTGAAGTGGGGCAATGCAATGGGACGTCTTGACATCTGGAAGGAAATCTCAAAATGTCTGCTTCAAAGTTGAGGTGGTCAAACCAAACCCTCCACGTTGAGGAACCACAACCGCCTTCCATCAAGCAGGCCACATTGAAACATCCTATTTTAGGAGATCCCAGTATGTAACTTTTTAAACTTTGACTCTCCTCCTTTAAAGAGGTGCTAAAGTCCGACATCACCACCCCTTCCCCTTGATACACTTTTGGTATCGAATTCTTCATAAAACGGGGTGGTGCTTTTTCCCGTTCCTCACCATGGATCTCAAGGCAGTCATGGAACAAATAGGACAATCCAGATTACAGGCCAGAAGGTTCTCTACCCAAAAGAGAATGCCTGATTTAGCCAAGGTTTTGTGAAGGGCAGTGACAAGGGAAAACCTCTAGGAATCCCATCTCAGTCACCACAAATTATTTTGCTGCATTTTTCGCAACAGCACACAATTGATATGGACTCCATGCAATAGGCACTTGGACCTCCCGAAGCATCAGCTGGGTTTGCAGAGAAGGGGGCAGAAGGTCGAGGAAACAAGAAGGCAAGAGTTGGGGGGGTCACCTGTACCCTACAAAGTGCTTACACCATCTCGGCATCGCTTCTCAAGTCAACCGTGAAAAACACCCTTTCAAACCCTGTTTCACCTCCCTGGGTGGGCCCTCTCCCGTCATCAGCAAAGGCAATCCGCTGGTGTGCAAGACCCCTCTCGTGCGCCACATCAGTCCTTGCACGTGTAGACCTCCTCCCTCTGCGTACACTGCTTGCACTCCACGTAGCAGCACCAGCGGACCTGGCACTGGCAGGGCCTGGTCACCACGCGGCTCTGGGTGTTGTGCCCCCGGCCGCAGCAGATGCTCTCACAGTTCTTGTCCTTGTAACACTTCCTGCCCGAGGTGCCGGGCGAATAGCGGCTCACCAGGCAGAAGCTGGGCGAGTCATCAATGTAGACGAGGTCCGTAGTCCGTGGGATTTGGTCGCCGTGGCCCTGGATGGACTTCTTGGGCGGGGAGATGTCCCCCTCGCCCGTGGCCTCGTTGGTCGTGCTGCCCACTTTGAGGGCCATCTCGTACCTCTGCTTCAGCTGCTTGCCAATCTCGTGGAAGGGGGAGAGCTGCCGCCAGCACGTCCGGACGGTGCAGGATCCAGAGACGCCGTGGCACTTGCAGGTGGTCTCAACGCCAGCTTTGATGACCTGCAGGTAAGGAACTGAGCGTTAATGACGGGCAAGGCAAGCGAGCAGGCAGCAAAATGGTGCTGTGGGGAGTGACTGAGTTCAGGCTTCCAGGCAAATGAACTGTGCCCTCTTTCTTTTTAAAAAAGAATGTTTCTAAAAGCTACAAAGACAAGCGTTCTCTGTTAACATTGACAAGAGGTTCCCAGAACTCTACACATGAGAAGAGAAGCATAGCCTTGGCTAGATCACGCCAATGAGCCATTACGTCTAGCATCCTATTCTCACAGTCACCAACAGGGCCAGATTTAGGCTGGATGAGGCCCTAAACCAGGGATCAGCAAACTTTTTCATCAGGGGGGTCGGTCCACTGTCCCTCAGACCTTGTGGGGAGCCAGACTAGATTGGGGGGGGGATTGAATGAGTTCCTATGCCCCAAAATAACCCAGAGATGCATTTTAAATAAAAGCACACATTCTAATGAAAAAACATCCGCAGGCCGGATTTAGAAGGCAATTGGGCGAGATCCAGCCCCTGGGCCTTAGTTTGCCTACCTATGACCTAAGCTATTGAAGGTAATGGGGCCCTTTATATGTCCAGCTGTCCTTGTCAACAACAAATTGTCGCAGTTTTTTGTGTTGAATATATGATATGGTAATTTATGGACCTAATAGGTTGTTGTTGTTTAGTCATGTCCGACTCTTCGTGACCCCATGGACCAGAGCACGCCAGGCACTCCCTAAAGCCATTTGCACATGCAGAATGTAGGCACCCTATATACAGAAATGAACAAAGCAGTGATATTTTAGGGAGCAGGCTAGCAGGCAGGGCCCATGACTTACATCACAGGAGCCTACACAACACAAAACACTGTTGCTGCATGTAGGCTTTATTTCATTTGTTTTTTATCTTGTATTTTGGAAATGTACATCCAGTTTTTTCCCTTTAAATTTTTTTGGGGGCCCCCAAGAGAGTGGGGCCCTAAGCTATAGCTTGTTCAGCTTATACGTAAATCCGCACTGGTCACCAACCAGATGTCTCTGGGAAACTCAAAAGCGGGCCTGAAACGTTATCCCGCTCCTCAATATCTTGACTATTCATTTAACTGGTATAATTCATACGATTTCCATTCTCTTAGAATACGTGCTCCTCTTTAGTAAGACATCAGTATTTTTGTGGGAGAACCCACACTTTGGATGAAATTCAAAGACAGTTCAACTAATTCATAGAGGAGAGGGCTGTCAGTGGCTCTGCCTCCATGGTCAGAGGCAGCAATGCTTTTGAGTACCAGCTGATGGAAACCGCAGGAGGGCAGATCTTGTGTTCGAATCCTGCTTGTGGGTTTCCCATAAGGGGCATCTGGAAGCTGGACTAGATGGGCCATTGGCCTGATACCAGAAGGCTCTCCTCCTCCTCCTCCTCCTCTTCTGATGAAGCCAGCAAGACTGGGAAGGGCAAACATGGATATTATCCTGCCCAGGGTAACAGCCTCCCCTTTCATGGTGCCCCTCAGATTTGTAAGACACGCTTGAACAGACATACCTCACGGGGGGGGGGGGCGGGAGGTGGAGTGGAAGGGAACGAGAAAGAAAGAAAGAAGGGGTCAGCCCTTTGGGGGATTAAGGAACTTAGCAACGCTCCAGAGAGGTAGTCAGAAAGTTATGCTTAATGATACTTTGCTGAGAAACATGGGCAAGAGGCCGGGGGGGGGGCGCGGTGGAGAGGCAGATTTAATTAAAACATCACTTAACTCTGGCCTGGTGGAACAAAATCAAGTGTGCTAACACTCTGACTTTTCATTAATGGGACACAAAAGGGAGAATTGCAATCGAGGGGAGGTTGTTTTTTTTTCAGGGGAGGGGGGAAGGTACCATATGCAGAAGAGAGGGGGGGCATTGCTGGAATTATATAGCCGCTCGTTTTAATATACATTAAAATCATCTAGCAACCTTGGAACATGGGAGGCCTGGAGGGTGGGAGATAGAGAGAGAGTTCTTTGGTTTCTCACTCCCGCTTCTTTCTCCACTATTCCCATTCCCAAGAATAGTTGAATGAACTGGGATGGATCTGGCAGGAGCCAGGGGGGATGCTTTCATTTTCTTTTTTTTAAATAAGCTGCAGAATTCTTAGGCTTGTTTTTTTGTTTGTTTTCCCCCTCACCGAGAAAGAGAAAGAAGGAGCTTGGCCAAGTCCTTCTGGCTAATTACCTCAACCCCCCGTGCCAGACAAGCTGGCCTTGTCACTGGCGTTGAGGTCATATCGTAAGCGCTTGAGCGAGGCATGAAATGGGCGCAAGAGGGCGATTCTTGCACTCTTCTGGGGCAAAGAGACTGCTGAGGTGGTGTGAAAAGGGGAGGAATGAAATCCTCACCGGGAAGCAAATTTTTAAAGCGGCGGCAAAGGGGTGGGCTGGATGGCAAGCGTGGCATTGGAAGACTTGCGTCACTCAAATTCTCCAGCGCGGGGTCAGGAAAAAGGTTCCCCTTGTCCCCATAGCAGCAAGCAATCCCGCCTGCCAATAGCTCAAAGGGTCGGGAAGGGAGAAACCCGTCTACTGAGCCTCAGGAGAGCCATTACGATCAGAAGCGCAGCAAGTGTGTGTGTGTAATGGAAAACACAACATTCCAGACCGCTGAGAGACCACCAAGCCAGGGCAATGGAGAAGACACTTTCAGAGGGCCCGACAGACCTGCCTATTTCCAGAGCGTATTTCTCAACCGTCATAAAGGATGGGGAAGACCCTTTGATGCAGCTCACCTTTAATGGCAAACCTCCCCGAAATAATACGAGAACCAAACAAAACACAGCCATGCTTGGAAATGCACACTTCTCCGAATTTTGCAATGCTGCTCTCCAGCCAAGTAACATCCATAGAAATGAATATGTTGGAGGTAAAAAGTGAAAACTTACAAAAAATGCATTCTATTCCAGGAAACAGCTTTGCAAAAGAGTCGTTTTAGGCAACATTACGTACAACAACGGGTGGTTCTAGGAGAAATTTGCACCCTAAGGCTGGTGAATTTTCAGGATTTAAAAAATAAATTGCATGGCAATGTGGAGAACCAAATTTAAGCTTAGAGAAATTGACATAGACTCCCTAATTATCACCTGGGAGTCATACAGTGGTACCTCTGGTTATGTACTTAATTTGTACTGGAGGTCCGTTCTTAACCTGAAACTGTTCTTAACCTGAAGCACCACTTTAGCTAATGGGGCCTCCCTGCTGCCGCGCCCAGAGCACGATTTCTGTTCTCTTCCTGAAGCAAAGTTCTTAACCCGAGGTACTATTTCTGGGTTAGCAGAGTCTGTAACCTGAAGCGTATGTAACCCAAGGTACCACTGTAGTTGTGTGTGAAGTTACAGAGCCAGAAAATTCCTCAGTTCCCTCAAGAGACAATGCCCAGGATTCTTTGAACAGGGAAAGTTCTGTTAACAGATAAACATTTGAAGTGGGATGGGGCCTGGCCACTAACTAAGCAGAGCAAGAGGCTAACAGGGCATGGTTCACCAAGCCACCATGGGCTCACAGTATGGCGGCCGCAGGGCTAAGGAAACAGATTTGGAATGGAGAATTGTGCTGGAATGGCAGCAAAGCCTAGGACAGGTCTTATATCTCCTTTGACTGTTTCTTGCACCCCTAGATTAGAATTTAATCTGCGCATACAGCAAGCATCTGTAAATAACCACTGCTCAAATTCAGGGTCGATGTTTGAGGGAAACTTAGAATAAACTCTATTGAGCGCTTGTTATCTGTCTCTCTGGCTAGTCAGTGGCTGGGAGCTATGCAGAATACCCAAGGAAAGTCTAGTCATACATCCATCTGGTAATTTAACCCAGGGATGTCCAGCCCATTTGGAAGCATCACTCTGTAAGCTTAAGAGCTACAAACTTGCCTTTTTAATACCAACAAAGAGCCAAAATCCTCAAAGTGTTCTGTACACACTACCACTCCCCGCTCCACCTACCATACTCCCACAGAAGTGTGGGGAGACAGGGGTTACTGGTATAGGGTCACCTGGGTTCTACTAGTTTCACAGTTAAGGAGCTAGGTGAGGAGGAACCAGCATGGTATAGGGGTAATAGCATCAAAACTGGTCCTGAGAGACCAGGGTCCAAATCCACATGAAGCCACGAAGCCCACCAAGTGACCTTCAGCTGGTCACTCTTCTCACCTAGCCTACTCTCATATAGGACATGCTCCGCATCCACACAAGTCCTGAGCTTTGAGGCCAGCCTTCCCTGTCTGGACCCCTCAAGGTGCTTTGGCCCACAATTCCCATCCATCCCAGCCAGTGGTCCAGAACATCTGGAGGAGGACACCAAGCCAAGAAAGGCTGTGCTAGGAAGGGGGGAAATAGGACAGAAACCCAATCAATATCCTTGTCAGAAATGCCAGCTTTTCTGTTCTGCAAGAACCTGCAGATTCTAGATCTCCCCTGCTCAATGTGCATGCACGAAACATTTCCGACAGCTCTCTGTCTCAGAAAAGCTGCGCAGACACCCATGCCCACGCCCCAAAGCCATTCCCATAGCAACACTCCTGCGAATCTTCTCAGGTCTGATTAACACACTGCTCAAACCCAAATCTTATTAGTGTCAGCTTACCGTGATCAGTTTCTCTCCCCTTTATCCCCCCCAACCCAATGGAGGCTCTCTTTGTTTGCACTGAAACAGAATCTCAGTGACTTCAACCAGCTTATAGCAGCCTTTAAGTTTGGGGTGCAACTGCACTTGTTGGGAAAGCCTAAGTGGCAACAAGGCCTTTCCGATACAGGGCGCCACTTTTCTTGGAGGGTTAGACAGCAGGGCCGGGGTGGAAATAAGGTGAATGATCAGATTCTCAAGTTGTTGGAGTGCGATCCCTTTCATTCTCCCCCCTTGAACTGCAACAGATTTCCATAGTACTTGTTCTTTTCCTGCAAGAAGTCCCATTTGGGAACACTACAAAGTTCTCTCCAAAGCAACACCTCAAAGGCAAGGGGGGAATTGGCCTTTGATGCAAAACCTGACCTGCCAACTCTGCCTAGAGCAGCCTCTCTCAACCTGTGGGTCCCCAGATGTTGAACTACAACTCCCATCACCCCTAGCTAGCAAGGCCAGAGCTCAGGGATGATGGGAGTTGTAGTCCAACAACATCTGGGGACCCACAGGTTGAGAACTGCTGGTCTAGAGAGTGGGGAGAGCCACATTGACCAACAAGATACCTGCAAGCAGGACTTGAGCACCTGCGATTCCTAGGAACTGGAATTCAGTAGCATCACTGCTTCTGACCTTGGAAACCATCATGTCTAGAATCCATTGATAGCCTTCTCTTCCATGAATTTGTCTAATCCTCTTTTAATGCTATCCATGTTGGCAGCATCAGGACCACAATAACCCAAGGACTGCTTCTCTCCATAGGAACCTACCCAGACCCTGTGGTCATCTTCTGAGGCCCTTCTTCATGTGCCTCCTCCTCGAGAGGTCCGGAGGGTGGCAACACAAGAACAGGGCCTTCTCTCCAGTGGCTCCTCATCTGTGGAATGCTCTCCCCAGGGAAGTTCGCATGGTGCCTTCATTATACACCTTTAGGTGTCAGGCAAGAACCAGGCCTTTGGTTGATCTGATTGACATACTATGCCCTTTTAAAGGGTGGCTCTGTCTTGGGAGAAGGTTGCTATTGGGTTGTTGTTTTATGTTAATTATATATATTGTAGTTTTTCTGTTGATCTTTTCTGTGAACTGCCCTGAGACCTCCAAGTTTAGGACGGTACAGTGGTACCTCAGGTTACATACGTTTCAGGTTACAGGCTCCGCTAACCCATAAATAGTACCTCGGGTTAAGAACTTTGCTTCAGGATGAGAACAGAAATCGGGGCCTCCTGCGGCTGCCGTGCCGCTGGAGCACATTAGCTAAAGTGGTGCTTCAGGTTAAGAACAGTTTCAGGTTAAGAACGGACCTCCGGAACGAATTAAGTACGTAACCAGAGGTACCACTGTATATAAATCCAATCAATCAAGAAGAAGAAGAAGAAGAAGAAGAAGAAGAAGAAGAAGAAGAAATAATAACGACTATCGCCTCCATCACTCACACAGCCTCACCTTCATGCCAACCAGGTTGTTGTGGAAGTCCACCCTGGCTCGCAGGTCCTTGTTGGACTTCTTCCCCAGGAATTCCTTGACAAACTTGTTGCTGTACTTGAGGTTGTCGCCGCAGCCACCCCACTGCCAGGCCTCCCGGTTCTCTAGGTCGGGGGCCTCGTCGCAGGTGCATCGCTCCATCCGCCCGGCGCTGCAGGCCTTGGCCATGGCATGTGTAAGTCCTGCCGAAGATATGGCGTAAAGGAAGGCTGTCTCCTTGAAACCTGCAAAGGACAATGGCATCGTTACCCAGAGGATGGCTACAGAGCTATACACACACACCGTATGTCTCTAAGGAGCGTCTCCACCCCCATCATTCAGCCCGGACACTGAGGTCCAGTTCTGAGGACCTTCTGGCAGTTCCCTCACTGCAAGAAGTAAAGTTACAGGGAACCAGGCAGAGGGCCTTCTCGGTGGTGGCGCCCGCCCTTTGGAACGCCTCCCATCAGATGTCAAGGAAATAAACAACTATCTGACTTTTAGAAGACATCTGAAGGCAGCCCTGTTTAGGGAAGTTTTTAATGTTTGATCGCATTTTAAATATTCTGTTGGGAGCCGCCCATAGTGGTTGGGGAGGCCCGGCCACATGGGCGGGGTATAAGTAATAAATTATTATTGTTTTAATCCTTGTGGCCCACAGAGTGCGCACGGAAGTATTAGGACAGTGTTTGCTGAAAATGAAATTCCATAAGCTAGAAAAGGCTGACTAACGTAGGTTTTCTAATAAATGAAGGTGAGACGTTTATGCACTGTCTAGCTTCTGTCCCCCTCTAAATGGAAGACAAAGCCAGAATCATGAAAAGAGAGTATTCTCCATGCACGCAACAGGAACCAGCTTTTGCTTAGAGCAGGGGTCTGCAACCTTTAAGACAAAAAGAGCCACTTGGACCAGTTTCCGAAGAAAAAAAAACTGGGAGCCGCAAAACTCGTCATTATAAAAATAACTTTTTTGTCACTTTTTTTATTATTTCTTTGTTTGACCCCTCAGAATTACTCCTCCTCATAGAAATAAACGTTAAATTAACAAGTCACCTTTTTGTGTGTGTGTGTTCTTCACTCCCCTTCAAAACAGTGACCAGCGTACATGCCCCCTTTCAATGCAGTGACCAGCGTACATGCCCCTTACAATGTGGCGGGCGGGCAGGAAGGTGACATCGGGACGGTGCGTGACTAACGCACGCACCGCCCCCATGCGACGTCACCACCAGTACAGTGCCCGCCACAGTGGGGAGTGTTGGGGCGCACAATGTGCCTCCTCCCCTCGCTAGTATCCGCCCCGGAGCCGCGGCAAAGGTGTAAAAGAGCCACATGTGGCTCCAGAGCCGCGGGTTGCAGACCCCTGGCTTAGAGTAACTTCTCCCAATGTTCCTCAACATGGTGAGTCAGGTGACATCTCAATCCTTTAATCCCCTGGGAGATGAGGGGAGAGGGGAGCTTGTTGCAGCAGGAGAGGGAGACACCCATGATTCCTCACCAGTCGGACTCATCTCTGCCTCTTGGCCACCTTCTCTCCTGCTTCAGCTTCAACCTCTAATTCTGGACTTCTCTCTATCGCAGACTCTCCCAGCTCATTAAGCCCTGTTGCCTCTGCAGCTTCTGATACCTCCTCCTCCGAGTCTGTTCCCTCTTCTCCCTCTGACCACTCATTGTCATCCCACCACCAACCCCCAAGCTGTGAGAGCCCTGAGAACCAGACAGAGACACCTGGAGGGCCACATCTAGTTCTCAGTCCAGAAGCTCCCCCACTCCTGTTCCACTGCCTCCCTCCTCCGACTGCTCACCTCTCTTCAGAAGGCTGGCCCGATAGCGCCCCTCAAGGGTGCAGTTCCACCGCTCAAAGCGGAACTGGTACTGGCACTCAAGGGCGCTCATGCTGATGGCCTCCATCAGGGTCTCGGCCACACCGGGATCTCGCCGGCACATCCTCCGCTGCTTCTTCTCCAGTTTCAGGCGGTCACAGACTTTGTAATGGGCCTTGACGGCAGCTTCCTCCATTTCTGAAGTCAGAGGGAGGATGGTCAGGGGTTCATTCCCAGTCAACCTTTGGAGAGGAGAAGAAGGCGACCCACGTCAGTGATCTTGAGGCTCAGACACAACATGGCCACAAGCAACGACCTGCCATCATGTATGCCATATCCGTGAATGCCAACGGGTGTGTAATATCACTCCCATTATTTCCAATGTCCAAGGTGTGTGTGCCATTCCTTAAATAGCCTTAACAGCACCATCCATGCATAAAGAGGAAGGCAGCAGCAGGCTTGTGGAAACCCGGAGGTTTGAGTAAAAATGAGCCAAACCCTTGGAAAAACAGGTTTTTTAAAACCCAATGAGGACTAAGCATCCTTTAAAAAGGTAAAGGGACCCCTGACCATTAGGCCCAGTCATGGTCGACTCTGGGGTTGTGGCGCTCATCTCGCTTTACTGGCCGAGGGCGCCAGCATACAGCTTCCGGGTCATGTGGCCAGCATGACTAAGCCGCTTCTGGCGAACCAGAGCAGCGCACAGAAACACCACTTACCTTCCCGCTGGAGAGGTACCTATTTATCTACTTGCACTTCGTGCTTTCGAACTGTTAGGTTGACAGGAGCAGGGACCGAGCAACGGGAGCTCACCCCGCCGCAGGGATTTGAACCGCCGACCTTCTGATCGGCAAGTCCTAGGCTCTGTGGTTTAACCCACAGCGCCACCTTAGCAGCCATGAAATGCAATTGCTGGGATGAAAAACCTGATACAAAGGGAGATTAGGGAATGGATCCGAGTGGTTGGACTATTGAATAGTAGCACTCCACACAACAAGAGTTTTGTTGCAACTTTAACGTAACTAAGGTTTTGCATGGCGTGCCCCGTTTTCAAAACCAACCTCGTTCAAAATTAAAAGGTGGATTTCAAGCTTGCGTGCCCCGATCTCTTCTTGAAGTCCCAATTGCCCAGTATGAAAGGTCTGCTTCAGCCTTCCCCAAGCTAGTGACCCCCCCCCCACTCCAGAGGTAGTTGGCCATAATATCCCCCCTTGCTGGGGCTGATGGGAAATGTGGCGCAAAACATCTGGAGTGAAGCAAGTTGGGTGGTGGAAGAAGACTGACGAAGCCTCAAACTCACAGTCAAATGCAAGGGTTTAAGCCAGTGGTCCCCAAAGGGGACAGTATTACCCCCTGGGGGAGTGGTGGGATTACCTTGGGGCACTGAAAATGCACACGGCCATCAGACTTTGAAAAGCTGGTACCACTGATTAAGTTCAATTTTGTCAACTCAATTAAACCAAGTAGCTGTAATTAGATTTAATAAATGAGCAATTCCTTGTTACTGTTTTGCATTTTATTTATCTTCCTTAGTAGGTCGTGCAAGCTGCTATTCTGAACAACGCTCTTTGTAGGGTAGAGGGATGAATTCATGGAACCAAGGGGGCAGTGGCCCCCAAAAGATTGGGAAACACTGGTTTTTAAGCTCTCTAAAGCAGGAAGTGCTAAGGAGCCACACATACTGTTATGTACTGAGTTGAAGAGGATCCAAAATGCAGCAGTCTGATTGGTCCTAGAACAATAGGATCCAAAATGCAGCAGTCTGATTGGTCCTAGAACAATAGGATCCAAAATGCAGCAGTCTGATTGGTCCGCAGGAGCCACCCAATCCAGCTCCAGATAGAAGTGAATCCACAACCTGATTGGCCTACAGGAGAATCCTGGAATTAGCCAATCACGTGCAGCCCATTGTGTAACTAATGTATATAAAGCAGATACTTTGGGGGAACTTTCATTCCTCCTCACCACTATGAGCTGAATAAAGAGCATGAAATCCACTCTCGACTCTGTATATATTTCACATACGCAAAAAAGCAACCATATTTCAACCATCTATTCCACCCACAGAGCAGTCCTTTCTGGAGAGCAGCCTGCTAGCTCCCCTCCCCAATATCCCAGTACCTGCAGCCCACCCAGATCCTGACACGGCTTAAGGGCCCAACTAATTTTTGGGAAGGAAGCCTTCGAAAACAAACAAACCAACCCACCAGGAACACGGGTCCCTCCCTGTTCCTTCTCCCAGAGCTGCTTCGCAACACATGGCCCGGCTGTTCTCTCACAAAAACGTGCAGCGAAGTGTAGCCAGGACAGTGTTCCCAGTGCCGGGTGACAACATGCTGGATGGGGACCAGGCTGGCACCGGTTGTGGGGGGTGGGAGAAAGAGGTGAACACAGGCAGCAGAAACATCTGTTGGCACTGCGACCAGGATTGCTGGCCAATCACCCGAGGTCCTGGCTCAGGCTCTCCTCTAACCAGGTGTCAGGGAGGGTGGAAGCTGGAGAGTCAGGAAAAGCTGCCGTAAAGTAGTTTGGGTACTTTTCCCCAGCGCTAAAAAGAGGAAACACACACACACAGAGAGAGTCACTTCTGGTGCCAGAATTAGGGATTGGCTAAAACTGCTGGGAACTAAGGCTGTTGAGCAAGAATCCTGAAGTCATGCCGGATTCTGGTCCTCAAGCGAGGTCTTTGGTTCCATAAAGGGGCTGTGATCCAGCATGTTTACAAAGGAGGTGGGTGGATCCTGCCAAAGACCTGTCTAGCCCCGCATCCTGTTTTCACAGTGGCCGACCAGATACCCCAGTGGGAAGCCTGGGAAGCTGGGCCCAAGCCATAGCTGTCAACTTTTCCCTTTTCTTGCGAGGAATCCTATTCAGAATAAGGGAATTTCCCTTTAAAAAAAGGAAAACGTTGACAGCTATGGCCCAAGCACAGGAGCCTTCTCCCCTCCCAGGGTTTCAAGCAACTAGTATTCGGAAGCGGAATGTCTCTGACAACAGAGACAGAACATAGCCGTTGTGGCTAGTAGCCATCTAGAGCTTTCTCCTCCAGAGATCTGTCTAATCCTCTTCGAAAGCTATCCAAAGTCGGTGACAGCCCCCTGTGGAAGGGAGCTCCATAGTTTAACTCTGTGCAGCATGAAGAAGCAGTGTCCGGAATCCTCCAACATTCCACTTCAATGAGTGGCACCACTGGAGAATATCCACATTCTCCTGTTCATGCAGAATTTTAATATGCGGGTGGAGCTGTAGGGATGCAGGTGGTGCTGTGGGTTAAACCAAAGAACCTAGGACTTGCCAATCAGAAGGTCGGCGGTTCGAATCCCTGTGACGGGGTGAGCTCCTGTTGCTCGGTCCCTGCTCCTGCCAACCTAGCAGTTCAAAAGCACGTCAAAGTGCAAGTAGATAAATAGGTACTGTTCTGACGGAAAGGGAAACGGTGTTTCCATGCGCTGCTCTGCTTCGCAAGAAGCGGCTCAGTCATGCTGGCCACATGACCCGGAAGCTGGACGCCGGCTCCCTCGGCCAATAAAGCGAGATGAGCGCCGCAACCCCAGAGTCGTCCGCGACTGGACCTAATGGTCAGGGGTCCCTTTACCTTTATCATGTCCACCTCCCCATTAGTAGTCAGTTCTCCAAACCCCCAAAGCATTGCAACCTTTCCACATAGGAAAGGTTTTCCTGCGTTAGGTTAATCTGCGCCTCTTTGATCTTTGGGCTAATTTATTGCAAGTAGTTCTATGCCAGCTATCCTGTGGTGCTTGAAAGGGTTCAAACAGCCCCAATAACTCTTCAACACAGCTGAGCCACCATCTGAAACATCAAAATCAAAGATTACTCCCCCTTCAAAAGAGGGAAACAGAGAGGGAAGAACTCTCCATGGTTGCTGTGTACAAAGGTTTTGTATACGTAAGCAGTACGTTTTTGCTATAAGGTAAAGGACCCCTGACCATTAGGTTCAGTCTTGGCCAACTCTGGGGTTGTGGCTCTCATCTCGCTTTATTGGCTGAGGGAGCCAGCGTACAGCTTCTGGGTCATGTGGCCAGCATGACTAAGCCGCTTCTGGCGAACCAGAGCAATGCACGGAAACACTGTTTACCTTCCCACCGGAAGGTACTTACACTTTGACGTGCTTTCGAACTGCTAGGCTGGCAGGAGCAGGGACCGAGCAACGGGAGCTCACCCCGTCACGGGGATTCGAACCGCCAACCTTCTGATCGGCAAGTCCCAGGCTCTGTGGTTTAACCCACAGTGCCACCCGCGTCCCATAATTTGTTTTTGTTCGTCTGTTTTTTGTTTTTGCTATAGAATTTTGATATTTTGTGGCCCAGGTGCTTTCCCTTTTTAGAAAGAGTTCGCAAGGACGGGAATTACAAGCCAGATCCATGCCCAGGACTTAGGACATTAGCTGGGAGCAGCCTCTGCATGGCACCCATATAATCTCTTAAAACTCTTTTATGCAATTTATGAAAAGGATGGGGGGAAGGTGGGGGGGTCATGTGCGGCCACTGTGTCAAAAGAGACCCAGCTGAGCCCTCCAGCTTTGGCACAAGCTCATCGGAGTCCCCCGCTGGAATGCCGAGAGCGGCAGTGCGTCCTGAACGTGCGTCCGACACGCAGCTTGTTTTGGTGTTCAAGGGGATTCAGCCAGACAGAGGTCAGAGGGATTCATCAGGACAAGAGCTGCTCTATCAAAGGGTCGGGAAACCTTTCCCAGCCCCGGGGCCACCTTCCCTTCCAGGCAATGTTCCAAGGGCCACATGCCAGGTGTGGGAGGGGCCAGAAGCAAAACTGGGAGGAGCAACAAGTGTTAATTTACTTAAATGTGCCTGTAGATCTAGGAAGCAAGAGGCAATATCAGAGTTCAAGGGGACATTATAGACCAGCAAGGGCATCCTGATCAAATTTGCAGATGACACCAAACTGGGAGGGGTGGCTAACACCCCAGAGGACAGGATCACACTTCAAAATGACATTGACAGATTAGAGAACTGGGCCAAAACAAACAAGATGAACTTTAACAGGGAGAAATGTAAAGTATTGCACTTGGGCAAAAAAAATGAGAGGCACAAATACAAGATGGGTGACACCTGGCTTGAGAGCAGTACATGCGAAAAGGATCTAGGAGTCTTGGTTGACCACAAACTTGACATGAGCCAACAGTGTGACGCGGCAGCTAAAAAAGACAATGCAATTCTGGGCTGCATCAATAGGAGTATAGCATCTAGATCAAGGGAAGTAATAG